TGGTGGGGGTGGGGGTTCGCTTCGTCAGAGCCCACTCCGACTTGCGAACGGGGGAAGCTAGACCGCCAAAGCGTTTCTTGATCGCGACGACGGTCCGCTTGTCAGCGTGCGCCATTATCTTGGAAGTAGATGTTTGAATTAGCGGCTGCGGTTCGAGAGAGGTTGTTCCTAGAAAGGACGGGTTTGAGAGGGTACAAGTGGCTTGTCACGGCCATGAGAGATACTGCTGTATGGTGCACCTCTTGCCAATATTTAGTCGGACAAGAGGGGTTGAAGAGGGTCTAGGTTGCTCGGCACAACCTTCTCTTTCAACCGTGGCCACTATTTGTTTTGTCAAGATGTTTTTTAGAGAGAGAGCACGTGGAAACCAGCTAGCTCTATTTGCTACCTTCTACTGTCCCGATGTGGCACAGGCGTGTCTTGGGCGTGGACGAGGGGACACAGAAGGAGGAGGCCCAGGCACAAGTGCGGCAGGCACAGAGCGCCCGGGAGAGGGCAAAGTCGGGGGCTGACGCAGCAGCGAGGAGCCTTAACGAAGCCAGACACGCCCTTCGCGAGGTATGTTCGTCTCCCCATGCTGTGCCCTTTTTGGTTAGCGGAACGACTTAACCTTGCTGATTTTGTGGCGTTCGGTTAGTTTGTTTTTTTGTGTATTGGTTTTTTATTTGTGTTCGTGAAGTTGGGGGCGTGCTTGCTAGTCTAGTCGACTAGACTGCTTCATGATGATGAATGATAAGCTTGAATACGGTGGATAGTTAATGGTACAAGACCCTTGTCGCTGTGAGCTGGCCTACGTAGACGGAGAAGGCACCCCAAGATATCCGTGCCTTTGGACCTTGCTTCAGTTGCGCGGTTTCGTTTTGACAACATGTGAACAAATATGCGATAAAACAGCGACTTCACGAAGTGCTATGCAAGGCTAACATGGGACCAACGCGTCAGGAAGCACACCCGGAGGGAGGTCCTGAAACCGTCAACAGTTACAGAAAACGGATTACTTTTTCCAATCTGACTGCTGTATCCTGCCTTGACGTACGTGAGGTGGTTAAATACTGCATCCTTCTGTCATGCGGGTTTTCACGCGCCAAAGAAGCTGGCGAGCAAGCGAAACCTCGCCTATTTGTTGTTGTTTTTCTTCGCAGGAAGAGGGGGACAGGAAACGGCTGCAGAGCGAGGTTAAGAAACAGGAGGTCGAGAAGACCAGGCTCTCAAATCAGCTGATGGCGCTTCAGGCCAAGAACAACGACTCGAGTGACCCCACAGAGCAGCTGGAGAGAGATCTCCAAGTAGCCACGGAGGTGAGAGATGCATCAAATCGGAGTAAATCTTTTTTGCGTGACAGCGCATCGCCGTCACGTTGCGGTGGAACCGTATCACACAACCCGTTGCATCCTTTGGCATCGCTTTTTCGGTCAGCCACATTGCTTGGTGTAGGCAAGCAAGCACGTTTGGAAGGAAAACGGCAGTGAAAGCGCTCGGAATCGGTGCGGATGATTCTGGTCAGCGCTAATAGCAAGCGACAGCGGGGTGGCGTGCCATGTTTTCGTGGCCCCGCTGACAAACAAACATGTGACTCTCTCTCTGTTGTTCGGTTTCAGGGGGTGGAGAGTGTGGAGGCGGAGCTGGCTACGAATCAGAGACTTTCTGAAGAAGCAGCATCTAAGATCGAACCCTTCGAGAGGGCCAAAGCCATCGCCACGAAGGCGCACAAGGTACCTGCCGATGCCCCGCGATCAGACATTGCTGCTTTGTTGCTTTCGTCGGGATAGTTGTGTTGGAGGCCGCGGTCGGGTGTTGTTGCTGTGTTCGGCTTTCACGCCCATGCGTTGTGTGTTGGTTGTGACCCGAGGCCATCGACGCGATGACTGCTGTGCGCCGAAATGCCGCCGCCTTTGATGTTGAAATCGCATCAGCCTACAGCCTACATCCTACATCCAGCCCTGCTCTGCGAGCTCGAGGCTTGTACACGATGGGATATTGGGATATCGGACACAGCGGGGTCAAGTCTCGTTCTTGGGCTATTACAGTAGAACACCACACCGGGAGATTGTGCGACTTTTTTCAGCCCAGGAGTCCGGCCATGAATCTACGACATGTACGATGACGTCATGAAGTGACGAGGGCCTCGAGCAAGGTGTCGGCAGCAGCACACCCTCAGCGGTTGCTATGATAGTCAAGGCATGGCCACACGTCGACGACACTCGGCATGGCATGTTAGGGACTTATATTTCTCTTTTGCTACGCTTACACGTTCAGCAGCGGCGAGACTTGAGTTAAATTTTACTTCCTCCCGTCAATGCGCTCGCCACAATGCTCGAACGCTGGTCCGGTGCTACTGCTCCCGTGCTGAGCAGGACTCCGGCACCAAATCTGCGAAGCTTCAGGATGAGCTGGAAAAGATAGTGGACGCTGGAAAAAAGCCTGGCCACAAGCTTAGCAAAGCGGCACCCCAAGTGGAGAAGGTTTGTTTACTGTTTTTTTCTTTGAAGTCCCGATATTTTTCGTTTTCTCTTGGTTTTACACTCTCTTGCCGCTGTTCCTGGCCAAGGAATTGTGAGCCCCTTCTGTACAGTGAAAGAAACGTTTTTCTTGTGTGATTGTGGTTCTTGTGGTTTGGCTCTATGCGTTGACAATTTGTTGCCGCTAGTTTTTGTCCATGCGGTTCCTTGTCTATTTTAGACTGTTTTTCCTCCTTTGAGAAGCTTCCATCCTCGTGTTTCTGTGGTAGTCGTTATACAGATGTTTGTTTCCTACGTCTGTTTTGCACAAAAAGCATAGCTATATTCAATTTAGTGAAACACAGGTACACGCATCATTTCACCCTTTTTGAGTTTATTTTCGTGAAGAAGAGAACCCCGTTATGTCGACGGTAGTCCAACTCGCTCCTCAGTATTGTTGTCGATTGTGGCCTCGTACGAACGCAGAAGAAAAATGATTGCCGTCCTTGTCACCAGTTTGTTGTCGGCTCTGGAAAGAAGTGTTGCACGTTGATTTTCCGGTCTCACTTTTTCGCTTTTCCGAGACCTCGCGTCTCCCCTTCCCGCACGAAAAAACAAATTGGGCGTCGTTCGAGACGGTCATCTGATATCCGATGTACACAACCGGTGCATAGTTGGTCGGATGAAGCTTGTCCTTGGCGCAACCCCAACGTCGTCGCGCCGTACGCCATGTGAGCATTGTCGACGATAATTCGACGCTCTCCACCCCGTACAAGGTCATGTCCCATCGCCCTCGGCCTCCACAATCTTGAACACTCTCATGTCTATGCCTCAAGTACCCTGGTGCATACATGTCTCCCCTTTTCTCAGGTAGAGAAAGAGCTTGAGCATCTAGCTCAGACGAAGGAAGAGGCTGAGAAGAGCGTCGAAACCGCCATGGACAGCGCCAAGAGCTTCATGGCCAAGAGCCGCCGGCAGCCCCCGTGGGACGGACGAAGGGCAGACGACCCGGGGAAACGGACCGTTGAAGCTCTTCGCGCGAAGGTACGTACGTGTAACGTTGGTATACAGTATACAGTATACAGTATACAGTATACAGTATACAGTATACAGTATACCGCCGCGTTTTCATCGCTCGCTCCGAAGCGTTTTCTTTTGTGGCGACACCCTTCTTCATACGAGGGTGGTATGTTTCACGCCATCTACAACCACCCGCGACCTGCGCAGTACATGTTGTAGGCGGGTTCAGAAAACGCATCACCCAATACAACATAAACGCGATTTTCGGTTGCGTATGTACTATTGATCCTCCGCACCGTTCGTCTGCGATTCGCCTCGTCGTGCCGGTCGCTGTGTATGACATGTATAACAGTAGACAAGCGGACATGTAAAGCAACTTGCCCGAACTCGGTACAATTGTAGTACGTGTCGACATGTTGGCTGGTTGGCTGGGAACAGCACCTGCCGCTTTTAGTCGCGCGTCTCTGAATTTTTTTTTCCTAAGAGCGTCCTTTGTGGGTTAGGGTTAGGGTTGGGGTTAGCGTCCTTTGTACCGGTACCACCGCGTCCCTCCCTCTACCGCGATGTGTACATCTAGAACCATAAAGCACCAGTACCATACGGTACATTGTAGAGTACAGTAGTACGCATTTCGTGTTGCATTCGTCTGAAAGAAAGAAAATATTGATGTTGACACGTTCCCGGCATTTACGCGTGTTGTCTCAAAGCGATCTTGCATGATATGCTCCGGCTTGTCCTTCCTCTTTTGGTTTCTGGGGGCTCAACTCAGCCATGCCGTGGCCTGATTCCAGGCGAAAGGCCCCTTGGCATGCGCTGAGTAGGATTTGGCCAGCTCGGTACGTCTCGCCACCGGAAGACGGAAAGCTCGTTACGTTGTTGTTTCGAAGTTCACATTTACTTGACCCTTTGCGAAGAAATTGGCTTAAACGGCTGGTCGTTGCCAGATCGCACAAAATGCAACCTTAGGCAAACATCTGTCTGTTGATGTGCACCCACAGAACACGTTTGTTATGAAAGGACCCGATATCCGTAGGTAGTTAGCGGCGCGACATGCTCATGTCCGTGCTGTTGTTCGCCTCAAATCAAGCTACTGGTTGTGCGGGCACACGAGAGTCTGCACACACGGTCGAAACTACTCAAATGAACTCGCACCTACGCTGTTCCGAAGATGTTCCTACGCCACTGTTACCGCGATCGACGTTTTGGCAGCTCAAGCAGGCCGAGGAGCGGTACTTCAACGATCCCATCAAGATCAACATGGGCAACAGGACCAAGGCAATGGTACGCTAGCCCAAGGGGTTTGCCTGTATGGGTCCCAAGACACAGCGCCAATCTCGCCAGCATTATTGTCGATTAACGGGGCGCCTGATCGTAACGGTTGCACGATTCTAGACGTTCCAACGAACCCGCGTGCCCGTACAATAGCGCTGTTTTCCGTCTCTTGGGGGGCGATTGTAGTTGGTCATTTACCAATCCGTTTAGTTCCGTCTTGGAGGAAGGCCTGCATATCTCCGTTGGAACGTGGTATTCCGTAACGAGCGTGATCGTTAGGGTTTGGAGATCTGAGTGGACACACTCCCGTATTTGGCCTTGGCCGGGATCCCGTATTGTGATAATTTTGTCGATGATGTCCTTTGTTTTTTCGTTGCCCTTCTCCCCGCAGGTTGTAGAGGAGCTCATTCAGGAGGAGTCGACGAGAGGAGACATGGGCTGGGCGATCAATAAGCTGGACTCCAACATGAAGATGCTGTCCGACGAGCGGCTGAAGCGCCGTGAAAAGTGAGGGGAAAGAGGACGCGGGGCCATTCCTGTTTCACTCCTCACGCACACAACCGCCGTGCCGTAGTTGGTGCGGAACTTCGTTCACTGCTTCAGCTGTCGGAGTATAGTCTAGTACCTCTTGGTTCAGCTACAGTATGCATGCAACTAAGATACAATTTTCTTGTTCTCTCGGAGAGGGCATGGCTCGCGACATCCGTTCGTGAGCTTAGCGGCGAGCGATATCCCTATTGTGTGCTCCAGCCGAAGATGACCCATGGTCGCGCCACGAGATGGTAGGCACGATTTGCGTGAGCGAATTTTATCCGATTTCGTCTGAGGGAAGGGCATCGAAGCTTCGTCTTCGAGATAACTGTTACGCCGTATGTATGTCACCGCGGTATGAAGGAAGTCGACCGCCGATTCTCTCCATGCCTGAGGTGGAACAAGCTTGTTTCTTATTGTTATATCCTGTCGTACATCGGTACGGTAAGTGCCTTATTTCGTTTTCAGTGTGGGCCGATGACACTCCTCTGCGTTTGAGTGACAGTTTTCCGTGCCTCTTTTCTGCCCGTACTGCTGTTACGGAGGCACAGGGCATCTCTGTGGCCCTGTATATTGTACAACCAGGAGGCTTTGTCCCAACGCAAGGGGGGCGCAGCTCGTGCGGCCCCGTCTCTTTTTGTCCTATCACCGGCAGAATGCGAGGTTTTCACTTCGCCGGACGTTTTCGCTGTGTCGGATCTAGACTATTTCCATTTTCGCTTTTTGATCAGGTGGAAAACGTTCCGCGATGTTATACCCACGTGGACCGCCCGGATGTTTGGCGACATCCTCGCCGAGAAGGAGGCTCACGGGTGAGTCTGTCTCCGATTCTTCGATGCTCTAGTCTATGGTGAATAAGAACGGTGCGCACGAAGGGCGGCGCCTAGTGTTGTCACTTCACGGCAGTTCTGGCTGATCGATCGCTCCCGGTGGGGACAAGGAACGCATAGGCACGCGACATGCGTCGGACAGACTTCAAAGGGCGCCTTTAGGAACCCTCTTTCGAGTCGCAAGCAGGGTCGTTGCTGCTGATGGAATTGCTGTACGTGAACGACGCTGATCTGTGTGTCCGCTGCCTGCGTCCTGCGCCGAGTAGAAAGACTTCGAGAAGCGGCTTCCGCCGTCACAGTAAAGCCAAAACGAAAGGAAAGGCAATAACAGCAGTAAAAAGGTTATCCTCGGATGTTTTGCAGACGACTAGTCTAGCACATGCCTTTCCGTTGCCAAAACGGACACAACATGTAGCTGTAGATGCTCCTTCGTATATTGCAGGGAAAGGTTCACCTTGGGGCAGGAAAACGATCTGACTGAGAGCCTCAAAAGCGCAACCAGACTCTACCTACCTTCACACTCCGGACACAGACCAAGATAAACGTTTTGTTGGTGGTGTCTGCGTTTTTTTCTTTTACTGGCCTGGCCAACGTGGGGTAAAAAACAGCATGTGTTTGTTGTCATCTCCATGTTTTTCCTGCATGCAGGGAAGTCAAATTCAACCACAAGAAAAAAACGCTGGGGCTTTCTTACCAGAGCCAAGCCCACAACGACACCAGCAAGTGCAGGGACGTACGGCAACTCTCCGGGGGGGAGAAATCCTACGCGACGCTTGCGCTTCTGCTCTCGCTGGGAGCGCACCACGACTGTCCGTTCAGGTAAGTACGCCGTGGGACTACGTGCCCTACGTACGTAAGTACTTGTTTGCACGTCTCTTTGATTTGGTTTCGCGTTGCAATGTTGGTGTTTTTCCATTGTTTTCAACAAGTCTGGAGCAAACACGGAAAGCGCGCCAACGGCTGGTACGTGGGGAAGTCAAATACTATCCATAGTTCATAATAGTTCGGGTCTGCTTTCAACGCCGGTGATCTTGTTCACACTAAAATCTGAATTGTAGCCACCCCGCCAGCTAGTGGATTGCTTAAAGTGGAGATGAAGTTCACACACGGTGGTGTGACCTTTGCGCCTGCCCTGGATGTTTTCCCCTCCGTCTGCCTCGATTTCACGTGCATGCACGATATCAACGCTACCATGGTGCGTCGTTGACTTTTCTTTCTTTTTCGTGGTTTAAGGGTAATGGACGAGTTCGACGTCTTCATGGACGCTGTGAGCCGGGATCACGCCATACTTGAGGTCCTGAAATTCGCCAAGAGAAATAAGGACAAGCAATTCATCTTCATCACTCCGCAGGTATGCTTTGTGAACCGACTTGGCGAAGAATGATCCTGTCCGACGTATGCACAATTTTTGCAGCAGTCGAACTCGATCGGCGTGCTCAGCTGTCGCTTTCTTTTTCAAGACTTGGCACCGATCGGTTAGACTACGCCACCAGCCATTCGGCGTTTTGCCAGGATGTGGCCAATGCATCGGTTTCCCCACTCAACGTGCCTAGTCCCTCCTAGGCATTGACAACAGCCTTTAATAGCGAACACACGGAGTACGAATGCACGAATAATGCCTCCAGCGTGTGCTCGTATTTTCATGTGTGGGGTCTGCTGCCGACTTCAGTCTTCGCTTCGGTCGCAGCTTCCGTCCGCCCCACGGAGATGGCTCTGGATTCCTGACTGACTATTGTTGTGGCTGCCATTGTCTTGACCATTCACACCATTACAACTTTTGCCCAGAACCTCCTTCACTACCGTATGTCTTCAGAGGCGAAAAGGACGAGTTTGGTTGGTCGCAAGCTACAGTATTGTACACGAGTGAGCGGCGCACAACAGAATTCAGTTACCGCCCGCAGTTCAGAACCTGGCCATGATGAACTTCATGCTGAACGTTGTATCATGATCTAAGAGTTTGAGCACCAATTGCACATGGAACGTATGCATATTTAGAAGCGATTTGTAGCCTAACCGTGTGCATAGGGATGAAAAACCTGGTCTCGGCCAACACTATTAACAGAGGTTCTAACGACGTGCCACGAATCACCTGTGCAAGACAACTGATGGCGCCGCCATGCCTTACGCATGTTTTTTTCGAAATATTGTGCGTTTTTTTTGCAGGATCTGTCGTCGGTGACCTCGAGCGACACGTGCAAGATCATCAAGATGCAGCCCCCTCGAAAGGGGGACCACAACCAGACCACTCTGACGGAATCTTTCGGCTCGAGCTCCTCATAGTGACGTCCGGTTCGGTTCTAGTCGTATGATCGTGGCATCTGGAGGTCTCCTGACAATGTTGTCGTTTGGTCCAAAGCGAGGTGGCGCATGGGGGGGACGACAACCCCTAGGCACCGTATTTGGAATGGGTTGTTTAGTGCGGTTTCCCAATGTTTTTTTCATGGCGGAAGCTGACGAGAGTTTTCACCAGCTTGCACGACGTGCCTGGTGATTTTTGTACGGAGATTGTCTTTTCGACTGACAGAGCGAGCGCCGGGCGATAGTCAATTCCGGTTCCGAATGAAGTGTTTGCTCAACATCACACAGCTAACATCCTGGTAGAGTTCAAGCTAGGCTTCGCTAGCGTACAATGGAGCTCGGGAGCGACACATGGGCACCCACGGGTGGGCTAAGGTACGACAAACGGCTCATCCGCATGCATATTGCGGGTGGTGGGTGAGCTATCCACGACAGATCGAGAAGATCGCACCATGTGAAGCAAGCACGGTTAGCACACTCACTTACATGCCTCTATGTAGTAGGTCTGGCCGGGTCTGAGGTTCGCAGTTCCTCGGGATAGGGTACAAATGGCCGTTGTATAGGTTTTATGTGTAGTCTAAGGGGTTATTTCGCGGGCTCACAAAACGGAGCTCAGTTCTTGTGTTTTGATACGTGTGATCGCGATGTTGAGCATGAAGTTCTAAACTGCCAAGTTCGTTAGAGCGGGCGCTCACTGTAAAGCAAGGCCTTGCGGAGAGACTCATAAGATATTCGTTCGTTCGCAGTTTCGTGTGGGCGATGTCAAATTACGGATGGGTGGATCAGGCGGTGTTATGTTCCATTGATCGGCGACGTTAGCTGTTGTGGTATCCGTAATGGGTAAAAAAATGCCCACAGGCGGCTACGTGTCTCGGTAACTCCTGGCTTTGTTTAGTGTAGAATAACGGCGTTAATTTAGAAGGGTCACAGCGGCGTACGAATGGCGTCCATGTACAGAGGTACAGAGCGATGTAGGAAGAAGGAATTGCTCCCGGTGTTCACTCTCCGGGTTCTGCATACCCGTGCCGGTATCGATGCCATCTAGGAAACTCGGAAGGGGTTGTATGCATAGACGTCTGTTGCCCGAGCGGATGCAGCCCGAGAGGGGCGGGAGTACGCGGTAGGAGTTCCGGAAGACTGTTCGAAACTAGGCGACAAAGCCAACATCGAAACAAGTGGACAGGACGAGGGCACCGTACCAGCGAACACCAGCATATTAATTGAAGCACAACGTGCTATTTTTATAGGACGCCTTAGTTGCTCCTCTCGCAGTCTCTCGTCACATACCGCGAAAATCTGTACTTGGTAATGTTAGCCAAAGGAATGACGATGTTTTTTTTCCTGAGTTTTTCGGTGTTGGTATACTAGACTTGATTTCAAGGGGTTCACGCGACTGCATTGTGTCACAAGGAATGACGGTAGTATTTAAGACTGCATTTCTGTCACATCAGAAACTTGTTTAGTGTGTTTTTGTTCTAGTGGCGACTGAGACCTCAATTTGTAACGAGGGAACCGCCGACGGGAAAGTGTCCGATGGGCTGAATGGGCAGAGCCCTTGTCTCGTCGACTACGCGAGCAAGGTTTGACTCGGGGGTTCGAGTGCATTCGTTTTACTCGTTTTTTCTTTTTTTCCTCGAGTTTTGACGCTAAAGAAACGTGAATATCAGATGTCTATTTTGGTCTGTTAGTGGCTCTTTAGGTCTGACCGAATGTTGAACCGTATGATAGCTCCGCACACGGTATGTTCCACACAACGTGGCCGACTCTACCCTAACCCTATCCGTCACGCACGGCCAACGGACACGGACGGCTTGGCGGCCGAGAACTGGGCTCATACGCCTTCTAGGAATGCGGGACAGAGAGAGGACGCTGGAGATCAATTGACCGTTCGACCCACGCTCGACCAACTAGAAGGCGTAACGTCCTTGTAGGAAGAGCCACTAACAGATCGTACACACTAGGAATATTTCTGGTGAAAACGCCCAAACATTTTTTCGAAATACGTCTATAGGTTGCTGTCCAAGGAAGAGTTTGCCAATAGTTCTGGTGCTGTAACTTAGCACCGAAATTGCTACCTTGTTTTGTGTCACATGAATTTACGGCCACACCGCGTTCGTGACGGCCGTGAAAATACGGCCCTGGTGGACGGTACTGGTATGCCGCCGTCTTACCGCCGTATTTTGTGTTGTACCGCCTCCGCTAAATATTCATAACAGCCACCAAACGGCCATACCTCCTACAGTACCGCCAAAACAATGACCGCCGAATGGCGTTCCGGCGAAAAAATACGGCCATTTTCTGGTTTTACCGCCTGCGCCAAAGTTGTTACAGCCGAAAAACGGAATGCCGATTAGTTTCATGCCCCCGAAACGTTTCCGCCATACTTCGTTAGGTTTTACGGCCTCCGCCAAAGTCGTTACCGCCAAAGAACGGAACACCGCCTGCCGCCAAAAACAATACGGCCGTACGGCGTTGCTGCTGAATGTGTCCGCCTAAAATGCCGTTACTGAGATAACCCCTTTAAGGAACGAACCGTAAATGAGGGCATGGCCGCCGAAGAAATGCATAACCAACTTTATATGCTTCCGGAAAAAAAGGGAAGGGTGTTGTTGTTGTTCTTGTCTTAAAAGTGATACACCGTTCCGTTCTCTACTCTGTACCTTCTCATAATTAAAGGTGTAACAGTGCTGGTCCAACCGACTCGGGTTCCTTCGGTGGACTTACCCCAACTACTCCAAAAGGGTCAAAACTTCTCTAGAAATCAAAGGAAAATAAAAATGGACTTAGAAAATCCTCAAAGTAGTATATGGGCTTACGCCTACAAGGCACCGGCAAACCGGCACCGCATTATTTAGTACTTCGAAGTACCTAACAGAGGCTTAATTTTTCGCAATTGCCAAGCCCTCAGCTTTCTGTCCCCCCGTCAACAACACCCCGCGGCCTCTCGCAGGCCAACTTGGTACGCGCTGCTTTCTAAATACCAGGCGGCACTTCGCACAAGGTGCATAGCAACCTCACCTGAAGACAAGCATAAAATAATTAAATGTACAGTCCAGACCAAAATATACCCCCGCGAAGAGACTAGAAGACATGGAACAGGAACAGCTATCCCGACCCTGGAACGACGCGATCACAATTATTGCCTCGTTTCACGCCAGCCAATGAAGCCTGTGGTAGAGAGCGTCAAGAGGCACTGGCACCGAAGGGTTCTTCCAGGGTGGTCTGGTTGTGGTCCCCCTTTCGAGGGGGCTGCATCTTGATTATCTTGCACGTGTCGCTCGCGGTCACCGACGACAGGTCCTGCCAAGACAAGAAGGCAAGCGAGTGATGCGCGAGCAGACTTCGTCCTGACAGTTGTTGCGTGTGGGAATAATGCCTCAAGGTGCCGATGTTGGCAAATAGCCCCGACTGATGCGGCACAGCAGAACGCCTTTCAGCAGACGGATAGCATCATGGCGAAGACAAGCAAGCGAGGCGGGAGAAGGTTCGTTGTGTCGGGTGCTTGCGAGCGGGAAGGACGCGGCGATGACAACAAATATCCTAGACAGCAGTAGAACGCGTTCATGACACGGAAAAGCGGCGAAGCATCAACCCAGTTTCAGGGCTTGGGGAATGGTCTGTAGATGGTCCTAGCCGATGTCACATTCAAGAAACAGAGCTCGGCTTGAAGAAGTCAACGACGAAGAGATACGTTTAAAGTTGCCTGCCTCGTGGATGGCAGAAGCCCTGGAAAGCAACCGGAACTGGCGTCTGTTCTCGGCAAGTCTGGTGTTTTTGTGGTATCGTACCATTGAGATCGTTTCGGATTGAAAAAAAAATGTCAGCAGCGGATTACGACACCCCGGTGAAAATTTTATAATTTTGGGGTTTCTGACAGCCATCGATTTATCACGCGGGCTCATGACAACAGATGCGGTGACAGCAGCATCACCAACAGCCACAAACCTTGTTGACGTGTTCGAAGTACCCCCTAGCATTGTCGGCGCGCGCCATCCTTAGCCTGGCTTACCGCCTGGCTCAGTGCAAACAATGTTTCCTCCCCACCCCTCTGCTCCCGCATGCGAACAACGTTTGCCAGCGACTATTCCGTCTGGTTCGTTGTCATGTATTGATCCATTTATTCCACAAACACAGCAGCAGCAGCAGCAGCAGCAGGCACCAAGGAATGGTAAGAAAAAAAAAGGCACGCAAGACAAGCCAGTCGCAAGCGGGAGGGTGTCATCGAGGGACGCTGCAATAAAAAAAGCAGAGGGCCTCGCGAGGGTAACCGCTCCATTTGCTCTCAGCAGCCCACGTACTTTGGGTGTAGAATAAAATGCACTCTTTACCGAAAAAACTTTCCAATCCCGGGCCCTTGTTTCATGCTCGTTCGCCGAGTATCGGGGGTCAGCAGGTACGTACCCATGTCCCTGACGGAACGGCAATTCCAGTCCACCACACATATACAAACACCTGTAGAATCTCGTGGTGGAGGGTCCTCTCCCTTTCGTCGGACGCGCGCCTTTTCGCTTCCTCTCTCGCCGACTTAAGCCTCTCCGAGATGTGATCCTTTTCCTCTGAAGGAAAAAACACACAAAGAGAGAGAGAGAGAGTGTGCGCGTGAGGAAGGGACCATGACCTTTAGACGCGTTTCCGCTTTCTGTGGCACTGACGTATTCTGAAAGGTGAGTCGGGCAGTGAGGTTGCAAAAAAAAACAATACACACCAACACACAATCACACTCGCACTCACACCGCAGGAACCAAAAAATCACCAACGGCCACAAAAGACAAACGGTATCGTAACACGCCATAGAACTGCGACGCAACTCTCAGCAATTTACCTACCTTCTCAATCTATATCTGTGGTCGATCCTTCCAACTCAATTTGAAATACCATTCTCTCTCGTTGGAGGCGACCCGGAAACAAAAAAAAAACGCATTTCGGGGATGGGTTGCTGTTACCACTCGAGGCATTCTTGTCTGATAACAAAAGAGAAAATGCTCGTAACAAGGTCCCTCTGTTCATCGTCTATCTCTCGATGACGATCCCCTCATCTTTTTCACAACCTGGATAAAATTCCATTGCCTCTGGGACAAAACCATTCCAAACTCTTGGAAGACTGACCGGTCTTCTGGCTCTTCTCGTCCTTCAACTCTTCTCGCCGACATCGCAGCGGCACGAGGGGATCCTGCGCCTCCTTGAAATCCTTGGCCCTCTGCCTAGCCTCATCCCTCAGTCTCTCAATTTTGGCCTGTTGGTTTGCATCGCAGAAAAAGTAGTCACTCATGAACGATTGAAGCCGAGAGAGAGGGAGAGTGAGTGATTTAGCGAGCGAGTCAGAGAGAGAGAGAGATAGAGAGAGAGAGACAGACAGAGACAGAGAGAGAGAGAGAGAGACAGAGACAGAGACAGAGAGAGAGAGAGACAGAGAGAGAGACAGAGAGACAGAGACAGACAGAGAGAGAACGATGGTCAGCAGCTACAACTCCAGATCTTGATTTCTTCATGTACTGTCATGTACTGCGGCTGCGGTGAGTAGAGTAGTGCGACAATTGAGGAGCTTGTCACCAGGCACTAGAGTGCCTCAAAAGGCGCGGCCTCGTTGACACATCCCCGCAGACACGAATAGAATGAAGAACATAGAGGAGAGCAGAAATGAGGGCGGTAGAGGACAACGAGAACACAATGTGGCAGCCTTTGGAATGCAAACCACGGCAGGAAGAGAGTACAGAAACGATAGCCGAGGCCAATGGCAAACGCAGGCTGCTGTCTTGCCCACTGGCCGGGGAATCCAGAAGATCATTCAACGTCAAAGACACGTTGAGTTTTACGGTAAACGTCTTGGATCGCCGTGTTTGTACGGTCAGGTACCCGTAGCACCCGGCACGTGGTCCGAATAGTACGTCCTACTTGAGTACCGCGAACAAACTCGATGCTGTATCTCAACGAAACGGCAGTCAGTGTTAGCCACAGAAGAAAGCACGGCAATGACAGCACCAAAACCAGAAACAGCAACAAGTGCCGCCGACGAGACGACCGGGACGAGAACAGCAAGAACTTGGACAAGAAGCGAACCAGAAAAAACACACAGAAAAAAAAAGAGTAACAACAACGGCGGCAACTAGGTCGGCGTGAATGTACGTGTTGCTGTGTCTCTCTCACCACTTCCGCATCGAGGCCAGCCTTAATCTCCTCCTTCCTCTCTGCGAGAGCGGAGATGGCTTGTTCGAGCGACACCACTCTCTCCTTCAGCCTGAAGAAAAACAAAACCGAAAATACCTTGAACGTACACGGCAATGAGCGTGACCCAATCAAGGACTGCAGACTCAAAAAAGCGGACCTGAATTATCTAGGGTTGTGATGTCTCTCGAAACCTTCTACTTGTAGGTACAAGGGGCGCAGTTTTCTTCCCTCTGTCACGGAAGAAATAGATGAAACCTGCCATACAGCTGAGCGAAAAAACGGACACCAGGTTACCGGAACCAGTAGACGTTGAAGCTAGAAGTTAGACACAAGGCAAGCACAAGTAGCATGTCTTTTATCTCAGAAGAAAACAACAGCCCAAAACCAGATAAAACAGGAGAAAACAATGCCTCGGAGAGGAAAAATAAAACGTCTCATGTTTTTCAGAGGCAATACTTGTCCCTGTGTGTCTGGCTGCTGGCTGTTGTGGCGTATTTGTCAATACACGTACTGTTGCTGTTGTGTGAAAAGCGGACATTCACATCAGGCACGCGTCCAGCCCCGTACAATACTCTTGAAATTCTCCTTCATGTTTGTGAAACGGGGGTCACCATTCTATAGTCAGGAGGAACAAAAACGATACGAGTCACCCGTACACTAAATCCACAGCCACGCCAAGGAAGACCGACCGACTTAAGCACAACAGGGATAAAAACGCATCTATACCTCTTCAAAAAAAATCAACGCGTAGGACCCCAACAAGCTCACGTCCTGATTTCCAAACGCTTTTCCTGCAAGCTGTGGCCAAGCTGAGCTAGAGCCTCCTCCGATTTCTCGACCTGTGCCCACACCACTCGTTCCTGCCGCAAAATAGCCCGTCAGTGGGGGTGGGGGAAGGGATGATGTTCAGTGAGATAGGGTTCGTTGTACCTTTCTGGGCACAGACTATAAACCAGGAACGGCGTAAAAAGGTACACCACGCGATACGCTGTAGAAAGCACCGGGCACCAACGACGAAATATAACGTTAGCAAAGGTGGACATCTCGCATGGCACCCAAAGACATTCTTGCCACAATCGGGTGTTATTTACGAGTACGGCTTGACTGAGGCCCTGCATGAGACGACGAGATTTCGAATGCCGTGTTTGGGATGGGCAAGGATGTTGAGGAGGTGAATCACGGGTACAAACAGATGGTAACTCAATTCCAATGAGCATGTACATTGACCGCCATATACGGTACCGTTGGTTGTTCCCCTCCAGCTAAGCTCCTCAGGGTACTAAAAAGTGCTGCAAGCCGAATAACGAAGGCAGAACCGTGCGACGCAGGGTGCAAGCAGTTCGAAGCAGAAACCGAAAAACATGCCTCGTTCTGGAAAGACTCATCTACTTGTAGTGCTTCTTCGACCGACAGCTCGTGACGGGCACTGCCAAGGAGTCAGTGCCTGTCGCTTGTTGCAAGGCAAACGTATTTTCTCGCCATCTCTCGAACAAAGACCCAACTGCATGTGGGATCGAAAGGAAAATCCTGGAAAGTTCTTCACGTTGCGGTACTGTTTTTCATCCCGACCCGTGACCATAAAAAACACGCCTTCCTCCGTCCATTCCCTCAGATTCTACTGCGAGAGAGGTTCCACAATACTATGCTATCCTATTCCCCGTCGACAGGTCAAGCAGGCGGCAATGGCTACCAAGACACACAGCTTGGACACTGGCTGGCATGGAAAGCGATAAATTCATTAAGCCCCCTGTGGTATGCATATTGTACCAGTCGAAGTTGACGTTGCTATGCATAGTCGCCTTGTTGATACATAAAAGTACAACACAAATCGCTGGATTTGAACGTGAAAAACTTCCTTGAGACACAAATTCACCTTTTTCGCTGAAAGCCAGTCTTTCAAACGCATGTGTGTGTTTGTGTGTGTGTGTTTATTGTTAGCATCGACTGCGCTGACCGGCTGACCAATGAAAAGACGTCAGTCTTAGTGCGGTCGAAAACACAAAACACTTCTAAATGCCATGAACTGGGACCCCGTGAGGGGGCAGCATGGGGGAGGCTAAACTATCCTCTGGATCAAAGACAGAAACGGTAGCAACAGAAGAAATATGTGTGTGTTTAGTTGATTCATCTGTTTTAAATATTAGTCGGTATAAGCAAAAAACTCCACAAAGAGGACGATTTATCCGATGCACGAAGCTGAAAGACACCTCGAGTATAACAATCTGCTCCTCGAGGTCGTCCAGCTCTCGGAATTGCTCCAGTTCCACCCTCAGCTCATCGACTATGCGCTGCAACCTGATGGGACACGGGACAAAGCACACATTGCCTACATTCAGCACAAAGAGTGAAAAACGAGAGCCTAAAATATGAGCCCTCGTTTGTCCATTGCAGCCCAAACACACAAAAGACACAATCCCCACAATGACGTTCATTCATTCCATCGACATGGAGCCCCATCTCATCCTAGACCTTTCTACACAGGCGGCTAGCTTTGACCAACGTTCCACAGATAACTCGACCGATCGACTCCTCCGCCACTCCCACCAATAGCATTGCGGCACCCCACATGCCTCCACGAACCGCTGCTAACCCCGCAAAGCTGCATAAGGTAGTATATGGTAGTATATGGTAGTATAAGGTAGCATAAGGTAGTATAAGGTAGGCAGGGGGGTGGTGCCGCCCGTCTAGGGGTCACCTCTAGCAGGAGGGGTAGGGTTAGGCTTTAACTCTCTTTCCACCTCAGAATATGATAGCCCGGTTCAAACCCTTCAAGTTTTATCCACATAGGAAGCCTTGTTTTTCTTTGGGGGGGGGGGGGGGTGTACTCATAGTCGTGCATGCCGTAGTCGTTAGACCATTGAACTCGCATCCCTACAAAGCCGGGACGGAGCACGCCGGGTTCTCACCGGACCAGGCTCTTTGGGGGGGGCGGAGTGTATTCATAGTCGTGCATGCCGTAGTCGTTAGACCATTGACCTCGCATCCTACAAAGCCGGGACGGAGCACGCCGGGTTCTCACCGGACCAGGCTCTTTGGGGGGGGGGGGGGTATTCACATAACGGTGCCCCTTCGCGGTACTACACATCACCTACGACACCCCTACACAATCCCGCCCCCAAAAGGCGACGGAGTTCGTGTGATATGCATCCGGCGGTGCCCCCAAGGCCGGCGCGGACACGGCAGAAATCGAAGCGCGGTACAACGGGGTACGAAAAATCACAAGCCAAAGATGTACGACGAGCTCTGATTGGTCGAAGACAAAAGAACTTTGTATATCGAAAAAATCACATCGTCGAAAATACCGCAAACAAATTGATCAACGAAGGAGCTACAGACATTTTCATGAAGATGGGTACAATACGATGGGTACAATACCTTGCGGCAGAGCATCGGCCATGTTCTCGTCTTCCTCATCATGGTCTGTTGAAAGTGATCCCGCCGTAGCCCCGCCGTCCGTGGATCCAACCGTGGATCCGTCGGAAATTCGCCGAACCTTCGGAGGTCTCTCCTCTTCCGGCTGAAAGTTTTCGAAAATGAATTGCGAAGCGAACACGATCACGGGGGGGGAGAGAGAGAGAGAGAGAGAAAGAGAGACAGACAGAGGTCAAAAGACTGAGGAAGTATAAAAAAACGATAAGTTATCGGCGGGACATTCCCTTCCTGAGGACGTTCGTTGGACGTACACGTGAGAACATGAGAACATGCAATGTGCAGTCCCGCCTTTGGCAACATGTCATTCTGTTTGGGTGTGTTCCTTTGATCTGCCTGTACGAATTTTCTCCATCCCGGTGTGTCTTGCTTCTTCTGACTCGGGAGTACTGTACGTTTCATCGGCTTCGGCCCATGCGTTCCTTGTGTGTCCACGTGACAGGCAAACGCCGTTCATATGCTTCGCACTACGCTGTTGTGCTCTTGGAGGAAAACCGATTTGGGGAACCTCCCTGCCACCATTTGTCTAGTTTTCACTATCTCGTGTCCACAATATCTTCTCGCGCCTTGTACGCACATACCACAGAATCACGTGGTCGCCCGGGCTGTTCAGCAAGTACCCGCAATGTTTCTCGATCGCACCTAGACTATAGTGTGGTGTGTGGAGCAAGCGGCAGACCACAGACGCTGTTTCAGTCCGTAAGCATTCCTGTCTTTGTTCGGGAACTGGAAAGTGAAGACATGTGGCACACGTTTGGGGGCGTTCGGGGCGCCTTCCGCATTGCTTGCAGGCGGGCGGGCCACCATCGAATCGATAAGTCTAACGGGGGTGAGATGTGCGCATCAAAGGGGAAGATTCTGAACCAGAACAGGTACTGACAAATGTAAATGTTCTTGCTCGACAGGGAAAGGAGCGTGCTTTCGTCCGACTTATTCTGGCGACAGTCTACACCCGTTTGTACCATTGAGGCGACCGGCGCTGTGGCATTATTGTCCGAAGAAATACTGCCCACAAAAGACGTCAAACAATAGCTTGCTATCACACAGGTAAAATATTAATAGTTGTTGGCGAGAGGAGTACCGAAAGCACATACGACAATAATGAAGCAAGCAGGCAAGGGAGATTTCGAAAAGAAGTACAGGAGTCTTTCGTGCTGAAGGGGGAGCCGTCGAACCTTCGTCGTCCAAGGAATTCCGAGGACGGGTTTTGCTAAGGGGGAAAGACGTGCCCTGCAGGAGGCATAAGAAATACGCCATTTTTTGCCTTCTGCAGGGCGCGTCGTCGCCCGTGACACAAGTCGTCCTCGGAAGCCCTTGAGCGGCGGAGGTTCGGCAGCTTCTCCTGCAGCACCCGAGACTCCTGTCCGTCTTTCGGCAATCATCCTTACTCTTGTTGATGCCTTCTTCAGGGCACGTCTTATCCCCTTAACTTATGTCGGCCTCGGAAAACTTTGGGCGGTGAGGGTTCGGTAGCTTCCCCGTCTCCTCGCGAGACTCTGGTGCGTCTTTTGGCGAGTATCCTGCCTCATTGTCGTCTTATTTACTTACGGTATTCCTCTCACCAACAACTATCTTACCTACAGTATGTAACAAAATATTGCTTGACGTATTTCCTCGAAGACAAATTCACCCTTGTTTTCTCTGTCCCACGTGGGTCTTGGGCGAATACTTCATTAGAATTTCCGCTCCCGACAATTGCGCACCACACGCCCTCACCATTCCCCGTTGTCTGCACCCATTTCTCCTGCACAAGAACAAGTTTTACTTAAACATCCACTCCATAGTCGATACCCTCTCTCACTCGCTCCTCACGAAACCGTGCTTTTACATGTCACAGAACAAAGCTCGGAGTAAGAAGCTGTTGGGTTCCGTGGGGCTCCACCAACACCAGATGTTGGACAGAACGTAAGGGTTACAGTAGACCTACGCCAATCACTAGTTGGTACCACATAATTTACTAGGTGAGATAATCGTTGGCAACAGGAGAAAAGTAAGAGTAAATAACCCGATGCTGAAGCAAGCAGGAAACGAAAATCTCCACGAGACTAAAAAGCATTTCCGGCGACGACTGATGTTCGGGGGGGAAGACGTGTGCTCTGCAGGAGGCAAAGGTATGTCATTTTTTGCCTCCTGATCGGTGCATCTTCCCCCACTGACAAAACTTCTCCTTGGAATGCATTAGGCGGTGGAAAGCCGGCATCTGCCCCTTCAGCACGAAAGACTCCTGTGCACCTTTCTGCGAGTATCAAGTACAAAATTCAGCTCCTGTAGCGTTAGATCGGCCTTTGGGGACACTCCTTGTCCCCATCTTCTTCACCTGCCTTACCTCGCGAAGAATGGCATGGTTATCTCCTCCTTCGAGCTACTCGACAAGGGGGGTGCCAGGGTACACGGGGACAACAGTAGTCTAGTGTGGATGCTTTGGTGAGCGGAGGAGGATGACGGTAATGATGGGTTGAATCGCGGGACGATTATGCCGCGGGTTCAACCGCGAGGTTGCGCCACGTTTGTCTACCCTTGGGTGGAAAACGTCACTAGGGGCAGCAAGCGCGGAAGAAGCAACTAGCCAACCGGTGAAGGAGGCACTGGGCAACCATTGTAGGGATTGGGTTTAAAGGTCTCGCTTCTCGCTTCCCCTCCAGAGGAATATATATCTCGAAATCCTCCTTTTCGTGCCCCGTTTACCACGCTCCCGCCAGTTTTTCTCTACAAGCCAAATCCAAATGTCCCCTCGATTCGAGGGAGAATTTGATAGGGCTTTTAGTGAAGAGACGAATTTGATAGGGCTTATAGAGAAGAGGCGGCTCAGGTGGGAAGACAGCTCTGACCTTGCGCCCAGGGATGGAACCGTCTGCATCATCCAATCAGCAGCCGTCGTTCTCTCTCTTCGTAACAGCAGTTCAAAAATTTCGCAACAACACCGAATTTCCTGTGCGTGGAAAGGATATTGAAGCAAGAAAGGATATCGTCGAAAAGCCGCACCGCAGTCCTGCGAGCAGAAGACACCCGAGCACGGTGGCCAGCCTGTTGGCGTGGTCGTTGCCAAAAATACAGATACACCACGCCAGCAGCGTGTGGTGTCTCGTGATTGCCAACTTGGAAATTTAATTTCCATTGGAGATGGGGGCAACACTCCAACGGTGGGTGTGTGGTATCTTACACCCCTTGCGGTACTCCAGAGGTATCTTTGCCGCGAGGAGGGTAAATGCGAGCGGAGATGAGCCTACAACAGCCAGCTACGAAGGCGGACTGCTACCACACTGTGTGAAAGAGATCCCACGACGACATGCCAAAACAACATGAAGGTGGATTTTATGTAATGTACTTTGGCACATGACATGCCCACAGGGCACGCGGAGAAAGATTGGAAACTACTGCTGTATACTTTGAAATAACGAACACACCACGCTCCCCTCGAACCGTTGATCAAGGCCAGCATCGAGGGAGGAGACCGAGGAGGGAACGTACGCATCATTCAAATTGGGGAGGAGTACTGCACACAAGCGACGACGTTCAATTGTTGTTCCAACAAGGTCGATGACTGCTGCGGTATTTACAGCAGGTACCAACCAGCCGACCATTTGTATCGCCGTCCCTACTGTAAGTGGTTGGGACTCAGTTTCCCTTCAAGGTCGCTAGGCACGGCAATGTACCGCGCACAGAAAAAGGGAGAGAGGTCTACCGACTTCAAAGGCCAAAGGCATGCAGAAGATACGCCACGAACCCAAATGGCCCCGACAGCAGTGCTCCTAGCCCCATGGAGCATGCATCCGCGCTGTAGCGCTTGAGGCGACGGCAGGATATACATGACATGTACTCACGCATAAATAGGTTGTAGCGAACACCCAGAGGGACTCACCTCACTTCCATCCCCATCAGGCGAGCGGCTGCCGCTATTCCTTCGCCGTGTGGGAGCCATAGAATTTGCTACCAACCTCTTCCGTTGCCCCCGCCTACTGCCCTGTGTGCCGTGCTGGCTGCTGGCTGGTGCTCCAATGTGGAATATGACTTGTCATGTATGCTATGTAGTCCAGCAATGGGGTAGGGCGCCGCAGATTCAACTGAAATTTCCGCCGCATTACCGCTCTGCGGTCTGCTGAACCCCCGCTCTCCACGTCCAAGTCAAAGCGCTGCTGTTCAAATGCAGGAAATGCCAAGCGTTTCCTCTGCCCTGTACCCACTTCTTGGCGCCTCTCGCAAGGGCAACATGGATGGCGTGGGAGTCAGGGTAAGTGCGGGCATGGCCAGCGGGAGTCCCGCCTTCAAAATATCAATCCTTCTCTGTGATCTTTGCGGTGGAATTGCATGATGGATGGTCGGAATACAGCAGCAGCGAGACCAGGACATGTCTGTGTATCGCGCTGCAGGGCTGACGTGCGAGCAGGTGAGTCCTAGCGGTTGTGAGTACATCAGGCCTGAACCTATCGCGTGGGCGGGCCTCTAAACCGGGGGCCTGCCCGAAATCACCGGCGGGGTGTTACAGCAGTAGTAGTGCCCAAGGTGTTGACGCTGGCTCTTTTCGTGACTGGGTTCTTTCTGGATCTTCCGCGTTTTTTTTTGTTCTGCCGGGACCGAATAGACCGATGAGTCATGAGACACACACACACGACACCTGCACTTGAACGTTTGCACGTTTGTTTGCGCACCAACAGGTTCCCACATGGGTCAACCGCACGCACCCCATGGTGCCACAAAGGTTTAGTGCCCAACAGCAGCGTAACCCTCACGTGAAGAATGTGATGAGTGACCGATAACTACACTGACTGCTGTACTGCTGTATGTAGGTGCTGTCGGAAACCGGAGGAGAGAGAGAGGAGAGGGCGCCGTATTTCTTTACCCCAAACACGATTACATGGTGATAGTCTACATGGATACAGCAGCAGCAGTAGAGATACATCGCATGCACAGCAGTTCTACCCCGCCGCCGATGCAGCACACTGGCGCAAGGCATGGCACCGCCTCCAATGCCACTTGGTTGGGTGGTAAATCCAGCGGAGACAAGAAGCACACACGCACGCGGTTTGTTTGTTGGATGCATGCATGCGAAACGAAATGAAAAAGCACCAGCAGCAGCAGCAGCAGCCCGCCGCAGCAGCAGCAGCAAGCACGAGCCGCGCGAGAGATAAACTATGCCTTGTGGTGGCGGTTGGTTGAAGACGGACAAGGAATACACTCGAACACACACGCGCGCAGGAGAACTCGGGGAGAGGCCTCGTAAGCTTGGCCTTCAGTTCTGCAACCACATTCCGAAGGCAAGGAAGAAGGCACACAAGTCAACAGCGAGAGCATGCTTTATCGTACCAGATAAAGACAGGTTTTATCATGCCTCCTATCGTGCCTGTAGTCACGAAAACCCTCTCAAAAACGCGAAGGCACGGGGGCGGGTGTCTCTTTTTGACACTTTGTCACTCCGCCACAGCCTGCCAGCACAACAGCAGCAACAACAGCAGTACAGCAGTACCAACATCACCACCATGGACCCAGAGGACATCGCTCAGTTCTGGGAGGCCAAAGCGGCTGAGTGGGACCCAGTGAATGCTCCCCTAGTTGTGTGGGACGAGCTGGTTCTCATCGCGGACACAACACCCCAGCTCCTGCCCGAGGCGACATCTGCTGCAGCCAGGGCGGTTGGGAAGCGGTTCTGCTGCCACGGGGACAACGAGCCCCAGCCCCTCCCAGACATAAGGGACCTGGCAGCAAGGAGGACCGCAGCTCAGCAGCACCCCGGACTCTGCGGGTACCACCACTCCCGCTGGATCGGGGATGTAGATTTCTCAAAGGCAGCCGAGAGGAGCTCGGGGGGGCAGGTCACAGCGAAGCGTCTGAGGAATCAAGTAAGTATAGTACAATTGATATTTGGCAACCCCACAAATGATGGGCTGCTGACCCAGATCGGTTGTGCACCTGCTGTGCGCGTTGCACCTCGTGTATTATAGGTGTGCTTCACGTTCAGCTTTGTTTGACATGGTGGCTTGTAAGAGTGCTACAACAGCAGTACACTAGGCCCACAAACTTCAACCTGGACTAACGTGCGTGTGTTTTTCGAGCCTGCGGATCAATGCAGCTGCCAGACAGATCATATCACCACACGAAGTAGACAGGAAAGAGGGATGAGAGACCTGAAAGACGCGTTTACAGCAACCCTATCCCTATGAACCTCCGCAATGCTCAGCAAATGCTCTGGAAAGACAAGCGGCGCCCAGCGCGTCGACTCCCCTTTTGAGACAGATATGGTGTTATCTTCCGTATCAGTTAGGTTGGAGACTCTCCCATTTCGTACGAATAGGCTGGCAGCCCGCAGCTTTGTACTCCCCGCATTAGACAGTAGTAGGGGTAACGATGTACTGGGGAGGCCGAAGCATAATTTTCTGTCTTGTCCGAAGTTAGGTTTTGTAATCCGAACGGGCGGTTAGTAGTCCGAACGGAGAAAAAGACGCACGCGCCGCCCCATTGCGTGAACGTCTGTCTCTCACAGATACTGCATGCCACGTAACGTTTGTTGGCTCTCCATTTTCCCACGAAAGACTGGAGTGCACGCTCTAAAAAAACAAGCCTACGTCGTCGTTTTTTCCCCCGCAACGTGCAGGCTTCGTTCGACGTGAGCACCCGCCTCAACGCGAGGGGTCGTGGCGTTCAAATCACGAGGAGGGACTGCTTCACGCAGGCGTGCCGCGCGGTGTGGCCGGGAGACGAAGCCATACCAGCGGCCATTGCGGAGGCATTGTCGTGATTCTCGAGCGCGTGTTTTAGGCTGATCATGGAGCCTGAGGGGTGGGGTGGGGGGGTGGAGAGGGTTTCGTACTTACAAGAGTTTCGAGCAGACCCTCAAGGTTTGCGCTTGGCTAGTTTGCAGGGCGTCGTGCCCCCGCATGACTTTGAGTTCGCTGGGTTTGTCGTTCAATTCGCTGGGGTTATTTGGAGAAAGAGTGCTGCAAGGCACAACTCGGTGGAACAACCGATGGTGCAATGGTGTGATCTGAAAATTCCGTATGTTTCGTCGCATGTTGCAGGCGCACTCGCCGGGAGATGTGTATTGCATTTTCGCAGAGATCAGCGCCTTGGTTTCGAGATGAAGAAATGGAATAAACATGGAACAAATGATCTTGCAAGTATTCACGACTTGATCGCATGAAGGTCTCCGGAATGTCTGTCATTGGCACACGGTTGGATTCCGATGCCGTTTGCGGTCTCTGAACTACTGGTGAGCACCACCGGCACGTGGTGTGTATGACGTTGTCGCACGAAAGGACTAGACTACACCGCACGCAGTGAAAAAACTAAAGTGCCAGGAAAACGTTGTTTATCTAGATGCCGAAGACTTCTTTCGATTTTATCTGCAAACCTTGGTATCTGCAAACCTTGTACACTTCGTACTCCATTCCTTGTCTACGTGCGAACATGTCTGTCGACCAAAGCACGGGATACGGACGCCAAACTTAAGGCTCTTGCCACATAGGTTTCGGGTTAAAAACGACACACAACGAGCGATACACGAGCCGTGGCTAATCGCAACAACACTGACAGTAGTTACAAGCGAATGGGGGCTAAAGGGGGGGGGGCTAAAAACTCACTACCGCAGGTGACACCGCCGGCGCCCACCAACAGTTGCCCGACAAGCACTCTTCACCGCATATCCCGGAGGACGCTTCAGACTCTAAAGACACACGCTTTCAGAAAATAGCGCGGAATAAAAGACCTACAATATTGTGATTCAGTAACTTGCACTTTATCTCGCAAGGATGAAAACGATCGTACTTCGACCGCTACATGATACAGATGGGTGGTAAACAAGTACACAACACAAACGCCCCACACTATAATACCACTGCTATCGGGAAGACACAACAGGTAAACGACGGAGTAAAACATTTTCATGACGGACGGGAAGATGATGCGCTACGATCAGTCTGCCTGCCAAAAAATATGTCAAGGGACCCTTACACGAGTCGATCCCTGTTTCCTCCGCCCGAAACACTCGCAACAACAACAAAAAACGGTCACGAGCACCAGTTCATATCCTTCCGTGTCCTTTTTCCGAACTTCGAGGCCTCCCGTTCAGCCCGTGCGGCCCTAGCGTGCCTCGCCGGGTTCTCGAAGCATCCCTTGCACATCAAAACCCCCCCGCCCCCCTCCCGCCCTGCACCGCAGAACGCCTCGCAGGCACACCCTTTTCTTGTCGTTTTCTTGCATCCGGGGTACATGCACTTGCGTTTTGTCTTAATGTGAACGCTCCCCCAAACGTCCTTCGGGGGTTCCGTATCTTTGACCTGTCTCCCCCCCTTGTTGAGGCTACCAACACCGCACCTCCCCATGAGCTCCGTCGACATCTGTTCGTCCCAGTCCGACCTCTCAAGATTGGCCAACCTGCGGAGCTCCTTCACCACTCCCTCCAACTCCATCGACGACTCAAGGTCTAGGTCTCCTCTCTCGAGCCTCTCCTTCGCTTCACCGTCCCAGAAGGCTACCAAAGCCTTGAACATCACGAAAATGTTGGTGAACGTCTGCTCAATCTTGGCCTCCATCACTCGCCGCCAGTAGTTCGTGCACGCCTTGTGGTCATGGGCGTGGGAACCATTCTGTTGGTCGGCCGTATCTACTCCCCCCATGTTGGCCACGTAATCCTTACGCATCCACGGCTGCTGTAGCTCCATGGGTTTCCCCTTCTGCCCAGCTTTGCGCAGGCTGGACACGCACGAAAAGGGGCAGGCAGGCGGGGGGCAGGCGGAACACATGGGTCAGGCACCACACTTGCGGCTGCGGCGATGGGCTTCTTGGGCTGGTGTCTCATGAGGAAGTGCGCGTACCTCGACACAGTCTTCACCATCTGCTCGTCGTAGCACAGCCACTGGTTGAAGTCCATGTTTTCCGTCCACGCG